TGTGGGTTTTCATAAGTGTTTACGGAAGTTTGCTTTATGTGTCTTTTTGTGCAAGGCTTTGGGTGTATTTTCTCCCAAAGGCATTTTGATTCCGAGCATAAGTTCTTCCTTAATCAACCTTTTAACGTGGGGGTTTTCATAAGAGAGGGCCCTCTTATGTTTATGGTGCTCTTAAAGAGGATGTATTCTGTTCATTACGGCGCTAGCATTTAAAGTACTTGTTTAACTTTCAAATGACAAAATCAATTCATTGATCAGACAAGAAACAAGATGCAAAATAAAAGGACTTTACTTTATTCCTTTCGTTTTCAAAAAGTACATAAGCATTCATTATACTAAAAGAAATTGCTATTTCTTGTGGCTAATTCGTACAACTTGTTTCTACGGGGTTGGTCGTGCAGTCCTCGGTCCCGATGATACAATTATATTCCCGGTTTTCATGTTCTGGTCGATGTGGCAATCATATACCGTATTCTCATGTCATTCCCCCCAAAGATCGAATGTGAAGGATGCGAATTGTAACACTAGTAGTCTTGCACCTCCGAGGACCCCACTAATGAATTGCTAGACAATTTTTAGCTTAGTAACAAACTTTGATTCCCCTTAGGAATTTATGCTATCGAGAAAAAGACTATCTAATAATCATCTAGTGGTTTGCACTTGTGAACGGCCGAGTAACCTTTGCTCGATAGCAAACTCACTTTCCCGGAGTGGTTCTTCGCTTGTGTGCCTTTCTATTAAAGGTCTTACTGCTGCTGTTGAAACTTTCTTTGTAGTATGCTTTCCGTTGCAGCCTCATTAAAAACCTTGCCATAAAAACTTTCCATGTTGGACTTAGCGGGACAAAAACTGGACGAAGGGAAAAAGAGTGCAGCACATACTTTTAGTATAGGTGACGTTTGCCAGCAATAATATCTCTTGAGGTGTGCCACATTCCAGTTGCTTGATAACTTTTCTCCATCCTGATTGTCCAACTCGTATGATCCTTTTCTGGTGATAGCTGAAATCCGGTAGGGGCCTTTCCATGTTGGACTTAGCTTCCCGACATTGAGCTCCCGGGTGTTTTGTGTTACTTTGCTTAGGACCAAGTCTCCAACTTGAAATAACGGAGGTTGGCTCTTCGATTGTAATATCGCTCCATTCTCTACTTTTGGGCTGCCATTCTTACATGCGCCAAGTCCCTGCGCTTATCGAGCAGCTCCAAGTTGATTAACATTCCTTCGTTGTTTGACTCTTCATTTGCTTGGAAATATCTCAAGGTGAGATCCCCCACTTCCACCGGGATCAAAGTTTCTACCCCTAAACAAAGGAAAAAGGAGTTTCTCCTGTGCTTGATTTGGCCATTGTTCTGTACACCCATAACACTCCAGGTAGTTCTTCAAGCCATTTGCCTTAGCCGCTTCCAACCTTTTTTTGAGATTTTTTATAACCACTTTGTTCGTTGATTCCGCTCAACCATTTGCGCTTGGATGATAGGGTGAGGATGTGATTCTATTTATTTTCAAATCTTCAAGGAATTTTGTGGTCTTTCCGCCAATAAATTGTGGCCCATTATCGCATGCTATCTCTTTTGGTATTCCAAACCTACAAATTATGTTTTCCCACAAGAAATCCACTACCTCACATTCATTGATCTTCTGATAAGGGGATGCTTTAACCCACTTAGAAAAATAGTCAGTTAAAATCAAAAGAAACCTTACCTTACCGGGAGTTGGCGGTAGCGGTCCGACGATGTCAATTCCCTACTTCATGAACGTCCACAGAGATAAAACTGAATGTAGTGGTTTTACCGGTTGATGTACCAACAGTGCGTAGTGTTGTCACTTATCATATTTTTGTATGAAAGCTTTGCCGTCTTGTTCCATGCGGGGCAAATAATATCCTGTCCTTACCAGTTTTATCACTAAAGAATCCGCGCTTGAATGGTTTCCGCATATCCCTTCATGGACTTTTGGCATAACGTAACTAGCTTCAAACTCTCCCAAACACCAGGTCAGCGGGCCTCAGAAAGAATTTCTGTATAGTTGGCCTCCTTTGAAGCTATACTGTGCTACTTTGGTGCGTAGAGCCTGGGATGCCTTGGAATCTTCAGGCAACTTCTCGTGCTCGTGATAATCAATGATCTCATTCCTCCAGTCCCAGAACAATTTAGTCGTATTTATCTCATAATAGATATCCACATACAGGACAGAGTGCATGAGTTGTACAACAATCCCAAAATCTGATCCCTTCATTTCCATTGATGAACCGAGGTTAGCCAGTGCATCCGCTTCTATATTTTCTTCCCTCGGGATATGAGTAATCGACCACTCCCAAAATTGAGCCAGCAGATCATGGACCTTCACTATGTATTGCTACATGCGCCGCTCTTTGGTTTTGAAGATCCCGTAGACCTGATTTACCACCAGTTGGGAGTCGCATTTGATTTCTATGACCTCATAATCTAGTCTCCGGGCCAATTATAGTATTGCAATCAAAGTCTCACACTCTGCTTCATTATTAGTTAAAGGGACTGTTCTAATGGCTTGCCTTAGGGTTTCTCCCGAGGGAGTGATTAATACTATGCCAAGCACAGACCACTTTTCGTTGGAGGCTCCGTCCATAAATAAGGTCCAAACTCCTGATGTTGATTCTGACACCATTACTGATTATTTGGTCGTTAGAGGCGGCAATCCCGTACTTAAATCGGCCACAAAGTCGGCCAAAACTTGTGACTAAAATCGCAGTCCTTGGCTTATATGCTATGTCGAATTCATTCATTTTAACGTTCCATTTGGCCAACCTACCCGAGAGTTCAAATTTGTGAGATGTTTTGCAGGGAAAATATGGTCACCACAGCTATCGGGTGACATTGGAAGTAAAGCCTCAGCTTCCGAGCAATGACTACGAGAGCTAAGTCCAGCTTCTCCAAATTCGGGTAGCGAGTTTCTGCTCCCGTTAAAATTTTACTAACGTAATAAATGGGAGATTGCATACCTTTTTCCTCACGAACTAAAACTGCACTTACCGCTACTTCCGAGACTGCAAGGTAGACCAACAGTATTTCACCTTCCTTCGGTTTTGAAAATAACGGAGGGCTTGACAAGTACCTTTTCAAATCTCTCAAAGCCTGCTGGCATTCCGAGGTCCATTCGAGGCTGTTTTTCTTTTTGAGTAGCGTGATGAAATAGTGTGGCATTTCTCTGATGATCGGGAAATGAACCTGCTCAAAGTGGTCAATCTTTCCGTGAGCCTTTGGACTTCTTTCACGCTTGACAGCTGGCCCGAGATGTCTTTGATGGCTTTGATCTTATCGGGGTTTACCTCAATCCCCCTTTGTGATACCAGAATCTTAGGAAGTTGCCGGAGCTGACCCCGAACGCGCATTTCTCGGGGTTAAGCTTCATGTTATGCTTCCTTAGGATGTCAAAAATTTCTTACAGATGCTTAAGGTGATCACATGCGTTCAAAGACTTAACGAGCATATCGTCTATATAAACTTTCATAGTTTTTCCTATTTGTTTTTCAAACATCTTGTTTATGAGCCACTAATAAGTGGCTCCAGCGTTCTTCAACAAGATAGGTATCATATTACAGCAATATGTGCCAAAATTTGTTATGAACAAAGTCTTTTCCTGATCCTCCTGGTTCATCTTAATTTGGTTGTACCCAGAATAAGCATTGAGGAAACTTATTACTCGTGCCCGGCCGTCGCATCATTCATTTGATCGATGTTTGGCAGTGGGAATGAGTCTCTTGTGCACGCCTTATTCAATTCATTATAATCTACGCACATTCAAAAGTTATTGTTCTTCTTAGGAACTACTACTACATTAGCTAGCCAATCTGTATACTTTACCTCTTGGATTGAACCGATATCAAGTAGGTGAGTTACCTCCTCTTTGACGAATTTATTCATGGCCTCCTCAATATGACATTTCTTTTGTCTTACCGGAGGGATGTTGGGATCCAAGCTTAACTTGCATATGTCCACTTCTTTTGGAATACCTGTCATGTCCGCATGCGACCACACAAAACAATAGGCGTTATATATAAAAAATTTGATAAATCCAGACTTGAGCTCAGGGTGCGGTCCTGTCCCCAAGTGAAAAATTCTTTCTAAGCACTTTTCATACAATGCAACTTGCTTGAGCTCTTCCGCTGTGGATTTTGGTGCATTTGTCTCTTCTGGTACCTGGAAATATCTCGGTACCTAATAAGATTCCGACGCTACTTCCCCTTGTCTAAATTCATTTGATTTGGGAGTGGGCGCCAGTTGCTGTAGTTGCTATGCAGCGTGCTCCTTCCCTTTACAACTGGAGACCAAAATTGCATTCATCTCCCTTACCGCTGGTTTATCACCCTTTATCTGTTTGATTCATTCGGGCATTGGGAATTTCAACAATTGATGATACGTTGATGGTACAACTCTCATCTCGTGCAACCATGGTCTTCCCGGAATGATATTATATCCCACATCACTATCCACCACTTCAAAAAGAGTTGTCTTCATCACTCCTTTTGCATTTGTGGGCAGCAATATATCTCCTCGGGTTGTCACGCTTGCAAGGTTGAATTCAGAGAGGAGTTTTGTGGACGGAATGATGCTTCTGATGAGTTTGGCTTTCTCCAATACCCTCTATTGTATGATGCTGGCTGGACTTCTTAGATTCATTAGAACACGTTTGATTTTAAAATCTAATACATTTAAATAAATTACCAAGGCGTCGTTGTGCGGAAGCAATAATTCATCTGCGACCTCCTCCATGAAAGTGATGTCGCCTTCGGGAAATTCCCGGAGCCTCTTGCTATGTGTTATTAATACCTTTGTCTTTTTGCTGCCCAGAAGGTGACCCAGTTGATCTCATTCCCCCCGAAGATCATGTTGATCATCTGGTTCAGGGGATCTTCTCCTATTTTTGAGGGTTCTGCGTTATCACGGTTGCGACCATAATTGTTCTTGGCTTGGTCACATAAGAATTCTCTAAGATGCCATTCTTCAATAGTGTCGCCACCTTTTCCTACAGATGTCGGTAGTCCCCAGTCCGGTGGCCATTCATCCCGTGGTATTCAAAACATAAGTTTGGATCCCTCTGGCTGGGATCAGATCTCATCGGCTTCGGGAATCGTGCTCCTTTGAAATTTCTCATATATGATACCAATTCCACTACATTGACGTTGAAATTGTATTCTGATAGCCTGGGGTAGGATGGATCCCGCATACCTAATGCTTCTTTGTCCTGCAATGATCTGTTGTTCTGACCGCGATCAGTTCTTCGGTTAGTAGCGAACCTATCTACTGACCGGAATCCTCTACCGCGTCCTTCGGTCTGTTCGTAGTTCAAAAACAGGTCCCTCGAAGACTGTCTATCTGTGTCGAAATCGTCTTTTGATTTTTCTTTTCTTTATTCTTCTCCTTTCCTTTTGCCGATGACGGGAAGCCAACCTGATCATCTTCGATCCTTATATCTGACTCGTACCGATTGTGTACATCCGCCCAAATCGTCGCTTGGAATTCAAGCAAGCTTTCCTTCAGTTTTCGGGAATCGTATGAACTTCTCAGATTTAGCCCCTTGATGAATCCTTCAGATGCCCATTAGTCTGGAACAGCGGGGAGCAACATCCTCTCCTTTTGGAATCGGGTGATAAACTCCCGCAGCAACTCAAATTCTCCTTGTGCAATTCTGAATATGTCAGCCTTTCGGGCCTGCACCTTTCTGGCCCCGGCATGAGCCTTAATAAAATAGTCCGCATGCATCTCAAAAGAATCTATGAAGTGCTCGGGCAATAGCGAATACCATGTCAAGGCTCCCCTCGTGAAAGTCTCTCCAAATTGCTTCAGCAAAACTGATTCAATCTCAAGGGGAGCTAAATCATTCCCATTCACCACCGTTGTATATTTCGTAATATGCTCATGAGGGTCTGAAGTTCCATCATACTTCGGCACCTCGGGCATTTTAAACCACTTCAGAATTAATTCTGGTGTCGTGCTGGGTTTGTATGACATCTGAGTATACTTCTTTGAGACCGGTCCTTTCAGCATCGGTGGTGCGCCCCGGATTTGGTCCATGCGGGTGTTCATTTAGAGTTCGCTCTTAAAGGGATTGTTCTCGTTATTGGGGCTGGATATGCTTCCCCCAGCCCCATTGGAGACAACCTCACCCCTCGGGGTATTGTTGTTGACCCTCTGCGTTTCTTGATTTGTGGGAGCACCGGGAGGAACTGGGCCTCATCTATTCACGTTATTGGAAGCCCCCGATAATGTCTGCTTCATCTCCTTCATAACTTTATCATGTAGTGTGAGGTGGCCTAGAATGACCGCTTATTACTCTTGTAGGACCCTTATCGCATCAACAACATGCTCATCTTCAGCATCATCGGGAGTTGCCTCCTGAACATGATGTGGGTACCGCCTGTCGTGGACTGGCGAGACATTGTTCCCTTTATGGTGGGTGTCACTGACTGAATCCTCATGATGAGGCTGGTCTCCTTGAGCCTCAAGATTGTGCGTGTTGTTAACATAATTGTCTGTAATTTTTTGTTAATTTTGCTAAGACAAACAATCAAAATGCGTTAGAAAAGAGGCAAGGATCAAGTTAATTACATGACTGTCTAGGCCCCACGGTGGGCGTCAAACCTTTTACCCGTAAAATAGTACAATTGAATTTATACGTGATTTCTCGACAAGTGAATTAATTCGATCCTTAAATAATAGAATAATTGAAGAAATACACAATACTTAGCCTTGAAGTGAAGATAAAATCATAGAAACAGTAATTCCGGGAGGAGAGCTTCCGAGTACTACAGTGATGAAATCAAGGAATAAGAAGACAAAATTGTATTAAAACTTGAATTGACTATAGCATAAGTTTTCCAGAAAAGCCGTCCCCCTAAATGATAACAGAGCTCACTATTTATAGCTGCACCTAGGGAACAAGGTCCTAGGATCATGCGCTTCTTTAATGTCAATTATGAGGGCTATTGATGAAGTTGTAATGGTGAGCATAAATGTCAAATTCTCTGTAACAGGCAGTGTACTAAATGCTGTGGAATATTCTCCATTAAATGCCACCAGGCGGATAATAGTTATTGCACCTTTACGAGTGTCATTCTTTTTGGTGACAAACGGGATAATTGCCTTCTATTCTAACTATCCCACGCCTTAGGTTCTACATGTCACTCTGCATATTTTACCCTATACAATTCATCTTTGGAAGTTGTTGTGCGATAGAGATAAAGATTGACGAAAATGGAGGATCATATGAGAGTGTAAAAAGATTTTGAGACACCTTTAAATCGCATGTGAGATTTCACTGAAAGTCTCAAAAGTGTATAAATTACAACATCTTTGGACATTTTGTTCATAATTCCATCCACCATATATTTATTTTACACGTTGGAGAAAGATTATTCGATGTGCAGTAGCTGCTTTTGTACCTCATCGAAGGGGGATTTACCCTCTCAATTCAATTTGATCTAAAAGATTATTCCTTATTTCATATCCATAACTAACTAATCATGTAACTTGCGTTTTGTGGTTCTAACTTCTACGGTGTAACAACCCGACCGGTCATTTTGAGCATTTTAACCCCATTCCCTTATTTATTGCTTTCTCTATGTTATATTGTGGTTATGTGACTTATCGGGGTGGTCGGTTTGGTTTCAGGTGAGTTTCGAAGTGGATTGGGATACTTAGTTTCAAAGTTGGAAGCTTAAGTTGAAAGAGTTGATCGAAGTTTGACTTTTGTGTGGACGACTCCATCATGGAGTTTTGATGATTGTGATAGCTTCGTATGGTGATTTTGGAATTAGGAGTGTGTATGGATATTGATTTCGAGGCATGTAGGTCGTTTTGGCTTAAATTAGTGAAAGTTCGAAAGTTAATAGTTTGGAAGGTTGAGAAGTCTGACAAAGAGTTGACGTTGTTTATATCGGGTCCGGATTTTGGTTTCGGGAGTTAAAAAGGTCCGTTATGCCATTTATGACTTGTGTGTAAAATTTGAGTTCAATCGGAGCTAGTTTGGTATGAATAGCGTTAGTTTTGGAATTTGAATGTTCATGGATTCGATAGGTTTGAACTGGGGTGCGATTCGTAGAATAAATGTTGTTTGATGTGAGTTTAGGCTTTGAGTAGGATCGTTATGTGTTTTGGAACATGATGGTATGTTCGGACGGGGTCTTTGGGGCCCCCGGGTGTGATTCAGATTGAAATCAGGCTCATTTGTACTTAGGTTGATTGGTGAAGAACTGCTGAAGTTCTGGTGTCATCGCACCTACGGTGGGCTTGGCCGCAGGTGCAGCTGGGTTATCGCCGAAGCGAAGGGGCTGGCCATGGGGAAGGTCACGGGTGCGGACACCTGGGTGCAGGTGCGCACATGTATAAGTGACTATCCATCCGCTTAAGCAGCCTTTGAGTGGGCAGTGAGGGACCGCACGACCGGTCAGCTTCCACATCATTATTTTTATCATTTAATTAGTGTTTTGAGTTAAAACTTCCTAAACTATAAATTGAGGATTTGAAGGTAGGAATTGGATAATATTAGTATGGATTTACTAGTTATTGAATAGGGTTGACTTTTTTATTTGACTTTTTGATTATATTAAAAGATTGTAATTTTATTGTCCAGAATAGTTTCTTATGATTTGTATGTATGGTATTAAGTTATTTTGGCTAGATTCGGGCCGTCCGGAGTTGGATATTCACGGAAAAGGCTTATTAGGGGATTGATTTGTCTTGTTAAGGTAAGTATCTTGCCTAACTTTGTATGGGAGAACAACCCCTTAGGATTTGGGATGATTGTGCTATTTGTGATATGTGAAAGTCGTGTACGCAAGGTGACGAGTGGATACACGGGCTATATGTGTTATTTGACCGGTTTAGGCTATTTACACTCCTTTCATGCCGTTAATCGAATTGTCCTAATATGTTATATCATTTATTGTTAATCTACCCTACATGTGTTAATTTACCCTTACATGCTTTATTTGACATTGTTAACTTGCTCTATCTCTTACTTGTTATTTTGCTCTTACATGCTTTAGTTGAAGTTATTGCTTCCTTATTGTCTTGTTGATTATTTAATTGTTGAGTTACCTTATTTGAATTTGTTATTTCATGAAATATCTTCTTGGTGAGTTATTGGTGTTGAAGTTGCAAAAGCCGTTATCACATTAAGGCGAAGTTGTTATATTATTGAGATATCTTTCATGTTGAGCTTTTCACTTTTATTTCATTCTTGTTGATATTATTGTAGACATTGTGGTTGAGTCATGGGCTTTTTGTTGTTGAAAGATTGGTATTGTTGATTCTTTTGAATGTGGCAGTATAAGGTGGGATTTAGGTGTGTGTTGCTAGTAAGGGAATTACTTGAAGCCACGCAGCGACATAAGGTGGGCTAAAGTGCATGTAGCTATCTAAATGTAAGGATTATGTGGCAGTATAAGAAAAGATTGTGATTGTAAGGCCCCGTAAAAAACAATTTGCCTAAAAACTCGAGGTTTCGTTGTGCCGAAGTAGCTTTATATGTTGATGATTGTAGAGATTCTATGGACTTTTTGTGTTGAACAATGCGCTAGGGAGTAAAGGAAAATTTTTTGCAGAATCACTCTCCGGGCCGCAAAATGGCCGCAGAGTGAAGCATGAAACTGGGCAAGTTTGTATGAAATTGTACGGTCCACTATGCGATCGCAAAACTATTTTGCGGGACGCACATCAACCGCGGATGATATTGTGCTGAAGTTCTAGTGTCATCGTACCTACTGTGGGCTTGACAGCAGGTGCAGCTCGGATATCGCCGAAGCGAAGGCGCTGACCATGGGGAAGGTTGCAGGTGCGGACACCTAGGCGTAGGTGCGCACCCGTAGAAGCGACTATCCGTCCGCTTAAGCGGCCTTTGAGTGGGTTGTGAGGGATCGCACGTGCGATCAGCTTTCGTAGAAGAGGGAATGCAGAAGCGCCCTATTGATCTCACAAGCGGGAGCGTAGGTGCGACTTGTGGACCGCAAAAGTGAAAATTCTTAGGCTTGATGAAAAGCCGCACCTGCGATGGATTTTCCACATGTGCGGTGTCGCAAAAGCGATTGTTGGTCCGCCGGTGTGGAATAACTAGGCAGAAAAGGGGCTGGACCGACGGTTAGAGTTATTGTTTACCTTTTGAGTTAGATAGGTCGATTTTTGGCGATTTTGAAAGGGATTTTCAAGGACTCGATCGGGGTAAGTATTTTTTACTCGAATTTGATTATTATTCATGAATACATCATTGTTTTTATCATTTAATTAGTATTTTGAGTTAGAAAAGATGGGAAATTTTGTTAAAACTTCCTAAATTATAAATTGACGATTTGAAGGTCGGAATTGGATAATATTAGTATGGATTGACACATTATTGAATGGGGTTGACTTTTTTATTTGACTTTTTGATTATATTAAAAGATTGCAATTTTATTGTCCGGAAGAATTTCATATGTTTTGTATTTATGGTATTAAGTTATTTTGGCTAGATTCGGGCCGTCCGGAGTTGGATATTTATGGAAAAGGCTTATGAGGGATTGATTTGGCTTGTTAAGGTAAGTATCTTGCCTAGGTTTGTGTGGAAGAACTACCCCTTAGGATTTGGGATGATTGTGCTATTTGTGATATGTGAAAGTCGTGTACGCAAGGGGACGAGTGGGTACACGGGCTATATGTGTTATTTAACCGATTTAGGCTATTTATACTCCTTTCATGCCTTTAATCGAATTAACCTAACATGTTATATCTTTTATTGTTAATCTACCCTACATGTGTTAATTTACCCTTACATGCTTTATTTGACATTGTTAACTTGCTCTATCTCTTACTTGTTATTTTACTCTTACATTCTTTAGTTGAAGTTATTGCTTCCTTATTGTCTTCTTAATTATTTAATTGTTGAGTTACCTTATTTGAATTTGTTATTTCATGAAATATCTTCTTGT